AAATCGATTTTTCAGATCAAGAATCCGGTTCTGTAAGAAACAGCCTTAAACCCGTGCCTCGTGCTGGAGTTATTGTAGTCTGTGCTAGACTTTGGTCCTCTCAATAGCACTTCTTGGTGCTGGGCATTGCCGAATGCTGGTGCTGTTACCATTTCGCTTGTGGGCTGTTGCACAGCTGCTTGTGGGAGACTCCGGGCTGCCTGTGGAAGCTCGGACTGGCTTGACACCTGAGCATCATGCCAGACAGGCGCGAAGACTACATCGCCGATGTAATCGCTGGCTTGAGCTGTGAGGTGCGAAGCCTCGAAATGCATAGTTCCCGTCAGGGTTGCAACTGGTACTTCCTGCTTGGTCAAGGCTACAGGATGAAGCCATTTGAACTGCCATGCCCGGTAGCACGCTCGAGACCCATGGTGATGTCGAAGGAAAATCAAACTGTCCGTAGCACACGATTAATGGGGAACGACGGTGTCTGGAAAGAAGTGGAAATACGAAGCTTCGACCAACGTCTAGACTAACGTACAGAATCTCTGGGCTCGGAGCCCTGCAAGGCTGAGGCAAGAATACCAATTCATGCTGTGTTTCAACGGTCTACCGTGAGGGTATTCTGAGCAGGCGTCCCCTCGGCCTACCCTGTGTGGAACGGGGCGTCGCAGCCAGTTCACCAGCAACCAGCACCGGTTTCGCTTCCGGCGTAAGACCTGTCACGTTGCCCTTTCTTACCTGCCTTCTGGGGATGGATATCAGCCCCTCTTTCTCCGTGCTGCTGCAACTGCAGCAAATAGTTCTGACGATGTGGCAAGGAACAAGTCCAGTGTTATCTGGCAGCGATGATGAAAACGTCTGGTATGTGCCTCATAGCAGACCCTTGGACGATGAGGAAAAATGTTCAGCTGTGTCGCTGGACCCCCAATCAGACAACTCATCGAAGGCGTGGAAACAACCGAAGAGTTCTGCTTCGGCCTTGCTTTTACAGAACAGCACGAGGGACGAGATTCTCCGAGCTGTGCAGGGGAGAAAAGAGTTGCAGCTGTTCCTGGACGACGCGAATACCGCCGTCTTGTGTGTGTGGGCGCTCCGTGTTGGGGACCTGCGACTGGACAACGGCCTCGAGCTTCTCGACGGAGGTTCAGAGAGGGGTACAGAGAACACTTGATATTCGGTGTCGATGCCCTTTCTAGGCCCCGTGGGAGCTCCGTCCGTTGAAGCTACGTTACACTTTCGTTTGTTCAGACGCCGAAGATCGATCCCCTGCAATTTCTGCTTGATACAAATACAACACTACAAAGTTCTGAGCAATTCTTCCCTGCGTTGGCGTACCCTCATACAGATTCTTCGTCAGTTGAGTTTGCCGACCCGACGTCCGCAAGCAACCGCACGGGGTTGCGTTGATGTCCTGTAAACGCGGAACTGCTGTGCCTCCACGGTCAACCACAAACACACCAAGAACCTCTGTCAACAATGACACAGGCTGACGGAGCTCAACGTTGCACGATGATAAATCTCGAAATTCCCACGTAATGCCGCGGGGGTTGCACAAGCTGTGTGTTTTGAGCACATCAGTGAGGCTCAACCGCCCCTTCCCTATCGGGTTTTCCAATGCCCGCTTACGTGCATCCGTGACCCGTGATCGAACACGGAATGAATCGACTCGACTTGATCCAACAGAGACGAAGGAGGGCGGAGATGAGGATGAATCGCCAGCCGAAGGCCGCGTCGTCTTTTTTCGTAAAGCTAAGGCCTGAACCTGTGACGGGCGGCAACTTTAGGAACCTCGTGCAGGTACATTCGTGCCCAAGGTCAACTATTTGTTCGCATTTTGTGTTGCTATTACTTCCACCAAGGGTCACAACGGTACCGTCATCCATGCCTGATTCCGTTACTATCCGCGAACGACTTGTGCTTCTCTTAAAGCGTTCACCCTTCGCTTCAACCCAACCAGGCAGCTTGCATCAGCACAGAAGAAACCAACCCATCGCTCGTGCCATCTACAGCTGAAGTACCAACAAACCTATCCGACCGATGTGTGGTGAAAGGTAAACTACGCGGGGTGCAGCAAGCCCGTGTTGGGCGTCTGTTGGGGCAGTGGGTAGTCGGCCGTGTTAGGCCGAGAGAGAAAGGTAGAGATTGAGATGGCGTTGGCGTTGGAGAAAGCGTTGGAGAAGGAAAGTTGATTGGAGAGAGACGGCGGTAGCGGTGGAGAGAGCGAAAGCAGTGCGCTAGATGCGCGAGCCTTCAACACCGCAACCAAGGCCAAAAGGGTCCCCGTATCTGCATCGGTGGTACCCATCAACATACGAAATTCTCAACACGTATCCCCGAGGATCCTCACGTCTAGAGACTGCTGCGAGTATNGATCTAATGATCACTCTGTGTTGTATCTACCCAAACTGCGCCACCACTGCCAACTACACAACAAACAGCAACTACAATTCTGTTGTCATATCCATCGCTGCATTCCAGTGTACCAGCTTCGAAGATGCGGAATACTAGCTACTGCCCTTACTGCATTCGCAATGTCTGGTCTTATCTGAGTCGCCAGCCACATCAACGATCCTACCAGCTCACGAAACGGAAACTCTGTCGCCACCTCATCCGCATCAAAATCAGAAAGCTTCACACCCGAAGACATCGGAACGCTCCTACCCCTCCCAATACTCCATATTCTGCTGCTAGCTCGTCCGTGAAAGTCTGCTGAGAAATCGTCAACCTACCGGTCTCCTTATTCCTCTCGTAAAAGCACCCAGAATACCATCTCAACTCTCCCAGGTTCTTCACTGGCACGGACTTGTTAAGGTCGGCGCCAAACTTATCACATCTCTCCCTCTCTCCAACAGCAAAGATGTCATCTACATGTACAACCAAAATCAAAACAACACATCCATCCTCAATCAAACGAAACACACAAGCATCGGCCATGCACTGCTCAAATCCTAACGCCACCAAACACCTCTTCAGCATTGCATGCCACTGCCTAGATGCCTGTCTTAAGCCATACAGACTCTTGCCTAGTTTTACAATCATTCCTGATAGAGCTCCACATCCTTGCAGCAAACGCATGTACACGTCTTCCTCCAACTCCGAACGCACAAAAGCTTGCNTATACTACCAAAATCTAAACAATACATCCATCCTCAATCAAACGAAACACACAAGCATCGGCCATGCACTGCTCAAATCCTAACGCCACCAAACACCTCTTCAGCATTGCATGCCACTGCCTAGATGCCTGTCTCAAGCCATACAGACTCTTGCCTAGTTTTACAATCATTCCTGATAGAGCTCCACATACATCCTTGCAGCAAACGCATGTACACGTCTTCCTCCAACTCCGAACGCACAAAAGCTTGCTCAACATCGAAATGACACAAGTCGAGGTTCAACTCGCATTTGCCACGCTCCTCGCCAACCGGGAAGACTTCGGCGGAGAAAATAGCACCGTGCGAGGCTAGCCTACTGCGCAAAACAGCATATCTCCCGATGTATTCTTGGAGGTTTCTCCTACTTTCATTTCAAGACCGTGGTATTGGGATGACAGTCTTTCCTTCTCCGCTCTGGCACGCGGCTCGTAATAGTTCAAGAATATTTTCCAACCTCCGCTTGGACTACCATCAGCGATGATCTGGGTGACGATAGGCATGTATGTTACAGACGTGATCAGCAGGTTCCACGCCGTAATTGCCTTCTCTACGCTATCAGGCGAGTGCATCCTACGTAAGTCCTCCATGCCTATTCCTTCCAGCCCGACTGGAATTCTGTGGTCACTCAATACCACTTCCCTGACTCCTTCTTGCGCAAACATAGCAATCATGTTCGATCGAAAAATCAAACATCTTGCCTGCTCATCTTCCCCTTGCCTAAATATCCCATCCCAAGGCGCTAGGCGCTTAACCTCGTTCATTCTAAGGGTCGCTGCGCTACTCGGTACGCTACCCGTGTCTGCGGGTGATATCTGAAGGCGGCTGGTCAGGGCGTCGGCGAGAGTGCGGGCGATGTCATCTACGGCCGGGTTCGCCGATGGCCGCCCCGCTTGTTGCTGGTGGCGTGCCTCGTGCTCGCTTCCGGTCCGGACGTTCTCTGTCCTCTGCTCCTCCTCGTCTTGTTGCCGCCTTATGTCGGCCAGTCGTTGTTGTACCCTCATNGTCATTCCATCACGGCATCAAGTCACGCATAACGCTCAAACACCCAAAACGAATCTCCATGAATGTCCACCAATCTACCACACTCCCAAGGAAAACATAAATAAACTTCTTGTTCCTCCGTACAAATAGTTCGTCACTGCAAATCCCGCATATGTATAAGCAATATACCACCCCCATGCTATGCTACGAGTATATCGAATACAGCCATGGCTGATGGGCAAAACATATCTGTTGTCCCAACCTGCCCCCCGGGGGGGGATTAGTGTCTCAATCCCCCCCCGTCTGTATCTCCGCCAAGAAGTCACCGATCGCGCCCGGACACGCACGACTGTGTTGCTGTGATGTAGGGCTATCGCGAGATACCTCGTACAGCGGAAACGGTGCAGGTTTGGTGCAGCCATGGCTGATGGGCGAAACATATCTGTTGTCCCAACCTCCCCCCCGGGGGGGGATTAGTGTCTAAATCCCCCCCCGTCTGTATCTCCGCCCACGAGGCACCAATCGAGCAAGGACACGCACGGCTGTGTTGCTGTGATGTAGGGCTATCGCGAGACATCTCGTACAGCGGAAACGGTGCAGGTTTGGTGCAGCCATGGCATATTTTCCGGTAGTGTTATATACGACACCGGTGTCGTACTTCCTTATATACGACACCTACCATTTCTTGGCCCACAGGGCTTCAATCGGCGTACAACAAAATGCGCTGTGTAGCCACGGCCCGCAGCTATCAGCCCATGCCATTTTGGGTCAAATCGGTCAAGTGGTTGAAGAGATATCTTAGAAAAAGGGGGCTCAGCAGCATCGCTGGGTTGGGTTCTACCACAAATACGACTGTAACTCCGCCCCCAGAGCTCCAATCGGCGTACAACAAAATGCGCTTGTAGCCACGGCCCGCAGCTATCAGCCCATACCGTTTTGGGTCAAATCGGCCAAGTGGTTGAAGAGATATCTTAGGAAAAGGGGGCTCAGCAGCATCGCAGGGTTAGGTTCTACCACAAATACGACTGTAACTCCGCCCCCAGAGCTCCAATCGGCGTACAACAAAATGCGCTGTGTAGCCACGGCCCGCAGCTATCAGCCCATACCATTTTGGGTCAAATCGGCCAAGTGGTTGCGGAGGAAGAGCCGAAAATAGGGGGCTCCGCAACTTACCCGGGGGGGTGTCAGCGACGTTCCGGTCATAACTCCTTGCACAAACATCGCCTGATCGCACGTAAACTCGCGATGAGTAGGTACAGGCCAGAGCTATCNCGGGGGGGTGTCAGCGACGTTCCGGTCATAACTCCTTGCACAAACATCGCCTGATCGCACGTAAACTCGCGATGAGTAGGTACAGGCCAGAGCTATCGTTCAAGCCGCTGTGGGGCGAAATCCACCCAGTCAGTGCCATGGTACGCCTACACCCGGC